AAGACGGGATGCCGTTAATGTGTGTGGTTTTTTTTTTTTTTTTCTATCTTTATTTCTACCTTTGTGTTTGTTCCTTGTCTTGTTCTTGGGGTGGACCGCCATGAGCGGCTATGCATGGGGGGTTTAGGACTCTAAGGGGTATGGCAAAGACAGGATGCCGTGAATGTGTGTGTGTGTGTGTGTGTGTGTGTATGTTTTTTCTTTGTATCTTTATTTCTACCTTTGTGTTTGTTCCTTCTCTTGTTCTTGGGGTGGACCGCCATGAGCGGCAATGCATGGGGGGTCTAGGGGTTGTGGCAAAGACGGGATGCCGTGGAATGTGTGTTGATTTGTTTATTATTTTTTTTCTTTCTAGGGGTGTTTTTTTTTTTTTTTGTCTCTAGGGGTCTTTATGTTTGTTCCTTCTCTTGTTTGTCGCTGTGGTTGTTGTGGAACTTGTGTTCGTTCCTGTCACTGTCCATCTTTTACAGGTTGATTCGTCGGTTGTTCAGTAACTTCGGTGCAGTTCTTTATCGTTGGCGTCGAAGATCGTTTCAGTTCACCCCTTCTGCGGATTTCATTCGGTCTCCACAATATGTCTGACCCTCGAGGCAATAACGGGAAGGGCCCCGCAGAGTCCTCCTCGGCAACGATGAAAGGGCGGAGGGTAGTAGAAAAGGTCACAAGACGAAGACCTTTGACTCCCTTTTTAAGGTGGATCCAAAGGCGGATGGAAAACGAGATGATCCTGTTTGACATTTTGTTGCTCGTGGTCGTTATTTAGATGGATCCACTGCGATCGGGAGGAAGAACGGTCGCCGTTGTTTGTGCAGGTTATGCGGTCGCTCTCTATGTGGGGGTGCTCGTGAGGCGAAGGAACACTTTTTTCGTGGCGAGGGGTATAGATGCCAAGTGGCCACTCCGGCGGTGTGGCACGCGATTTGGTCAAAGGATATGTCCAAGTGTCCTGCACATTTGGCTTCTGTCGTGCAGGCCTTGCAGAGTCTCCCTCTAGGTCATTCCTCTTTTCAATAGCCACCTCTTCGTTTTTCCGATGACGTCGTTCTGCCGCCCCCGTCGACCGCTGCCCCCTCGCAAGTGGCACCATCTCCATGTGCACCACTTGCTCCCCTCCCCCCTCGTCTGCTTCGTCAGACGATTCCCGCATCCGTTGATGGCAGACCATCTGTGGCAACGCAACCTGATGCGCAAGGCACCGTGCCAGTTTCAGGTGACGGGGAACCTGTGCCGTTCGATGAGCAAGGCACTGGTGCTTTCGTCGAGGGCGGTGGGTGGGGGAAGGACGCTGGCACATCATCAGGCCTCGCCCCACTGTTCACTGGCAACAGGGACAAGGTCCCAAGAGTTCGACGCACAGACACACGTCCGGCCGTGGCAGGAGCACCCGCAATAGGACATCAATCCGCTGCGTATCCATGGTTGYCTCCCCCTCYTTCGCAAACACGACGGCCTACACCAGACTTGACTYSGGCACCTGTTGGYGAGGSCRCTGCAACGGCCACTGAGGGTGCGGGAAACGTCCAGCTCGACGAGCCCGTCCAGGTTTCGGATTTGTCACCCACTCCTGTGCCCGTGAATGGCCCGACCTCGCAGCACGGTGTTTTTGGGACACTGGATCCTTTACAGAATCTGCGCAATATTGCAGCTCCGAGTCCAGGCCCCACCGCATTTCCTGCGGCCGGGGGCGGGGTGTGGGATTCGCTAGGTATGGGCGYCGGTGCACGAGTGAGGGGCACTTACAGGCAGCAGGCGGTGACCTCGTATTACAACGACCCGCTGGAGCACGCATGGCACCTGCAGATCATGCGATTCATTGTCGAGAGCGGCATGTCGTTCAACTGTGTGAAGCTTGAGAGTTTCAAACGCATGTTGACGTTGATCATCCCGCTTGGGGTTCCAGGAGTCCCCACCCCAAAACCCCCAACGTATCACATGATCCGTACCACACTTTTGGATGAGCTTGATGTGGAAGTCCAAAAGTGTGTGAAACCTGTCCTCGCTACTGCAGCTACCTACGGTTGCACGATAATGACAGGCGGTTGGACCAACATTCGGGGCCAAACGTTGTGCAACTATCTCGTCGGCACTACACGGGGCGCCACATACATCGCGACAGATGTTATGCGAGGAAAGACGGATGTCACTGCTCTGGCGCAGGCTTGGCTGCGAAGGTTGAAGTCCCTTGACATCAAGCTCGTCGACATCACCGCTTTCATCACAGACTCTGCCAGTTCGAACGTTTCTGCGATGGAGGTGTTCTAGAAGGATGAGAGTGTCAAGCACATCTTCTGGATTCCTTGTGTGGCACACTTCATGGACCTCATCCTTGAGGACATCGGCGGCATTGACTGGGTGGCGACCCGCATTGCTCAGGCGCGTTTGGTCACAAAGTTTTTCAAGCGTCATAGCCACGCTCGCGAAGTTTTGCAAGCTTTCACGACGAAGGCTCTGSTGCTTCCCGCCGAGACTCGCTTCGGTACGCATSTGATTATGATGCGACGACTTCTTCTGCTGCAATCGCATCTTATGCAGGTGGTCGTTGATGATCGATGGAAGGACACTGTTTGGTCAACGAAGAAGATTCGAGACGCCGCCGCGGAGGTCACAGCATGTGTCGGTTGTCCTCAATGGTGGGAGGATATGAGAACGCTGTGCAAGTTGTTGGATCCCATCATGGACATACTGCAGATGGTGGACAGCGACACGAGGCAGATTGACAAAATTCTGCGTCGGTACGACGAGATGATCGCGCGTTGTTTATCTGCATGTGCCGCTTTGGAGAAGGACGAGCAGGACGCGCTGCTTGAAGTGTTTGACAGACGCCGCACCATGTTCAAGTCGCCTGCTCATATTGCTGCCATGATGTTGGACCCCGAGTTTCGAGACCGMACGATGCCAGATGACGAGGAGATGCAGCACGGTTTGAAACTCGCTCTGATTCAGTTTGGGTACCCGGAACATGCGGATCAGCACAACGAGGTCCTCATTGCCATTGACAAGTTCCATTCCAGGGAGTCGCCGTTCGATGACGTGGCCATGGACCGGGCGGCGAGGAGCTATACCCATGCAGCCTGTTTCTGGGAGTCGAAGGAGAAGAGGTTCCCGCACACGGCCTTCTTCGCTGGCAGGATACTGCGTGTGTGGGCGACTGCGTCGCCTTGCGAGAGAGCTTGGTCCCGTTGGAGTTTCATCCACTCCAAATCTCGTAACAGATTGGAGGTGGCGCGGGCCGAGAAGCTCGTGCGATGCCATTGGAACCTTCGGCTCCTCGACAGGCAGGCTATGTCGGACGATGCTCCCAGTGACAGGCCACATCTGTATGGGAGCTGGGTGCACTACTGGCAGCAGGTGGAGGAGGAGGTGCCCACCGACCAGCAGCTTGTGGCAGACCGAGGAGCCCGTGTGACGGTCACGAAGGAGGAGTTGACGCAGGCGAGAGAGAGGATGCGCGTCCTGTCCCGCATGGGAGCCACTCGTCGCTTGCGGGAGTCTGACAGGAGGAGGTGTCGTGGCGGCGGTCGCGGAGGTGGTCGTCGGGGCGGTCGCGAGCGAGGCGGGCGTGGAGGTCCTGGCGGGAGGCGTAGTGTCGTGAGTCGTGGAAGGGCAGTGGACGAGCTAGTACGCAAGCCTCGACAGCGATGGGATGAGGGAGACTTTTTGTACGAGAGCTCGTCCAGCAATGACGAGGATTTCTTCGGGACAGGCATGCCTGCACAGGATGGCGACAGCGATTTCGACGACCGTCACCCGAACGTGGGCGACGACGATGGCGCCAGTGGCGATGATCACGGTGACGGAGGAGATAGGCCACGACCTGCACATGGTGACACGATGCGCGCCGACGGGGCAGGGGGCGAGCACCGCAYAACAGTAGATGACGCTCGAGATGGAGTGCATGATGATGGTTCACGACCTGTCTCGGGCGGTGATCTGAGGCGCTTGAAACGCGGACCAAGGGAAAAAGACACTATCGCTTCACGTGTGCGCAAACGTCATGGTGGGGTTGCTAGCATTCCACTATCACGAGTCCCCGCAACTGGGCAAATTCCAGTTTCTGAGGACTCTTTCAGCGATCACGGCGGCGAGGAGCRGATCGAGCTGCATGGCGGGAGCGGTCATCCACGAGGGGACAYTTCGAGTATGCACGCGACAGCTCCGATGGGGCCTTCCGCAGCAGTCCCAGAATCGCAACAGGGTCCAGCACCGTTGATGCGTCATCCCGAGGTTCARRGARAGATCAGTCCTCTCCCGGCAGTGCGGGACGAGGGTTCTGTCCGTGCACTGCATCCACTCACGTCTGCCGGAGCGGCAGTCTCAGTTGCAGCGACCTCGGATGTGGGACAACCACTGGCAGCGGCGGAGCAAGAAAGTATGCTCCCACCTCGCAGTGTTCAACCGCGGCCACCGCCTGCATTGATGGAGGGGAGTCAGGGGACCGTTRTTGTGTGTCAAGGCGACGATCTCCCGGAACGTGATATCTCATACACTCCCGCAGCCGAGCAGAGCCGCAGACCATGTCGGCCTCGCATGCCCCACCGGCAGTCTTCAGGGTACCGGCGAGTTACTGACCATGGACTCTGCGCTCGTTTCTCTACCGGACTTGTCGACGTTGATATCCCCAGGTCTACCCCATGTGTCACCGCCCAAGCCACAATAGCCTGTTGTCATGGAGCATGGATCGGACGGGTTTGACGTGGCAGGAGGCGATATCGCCGATTTGATTACGAGCCCAATGGTGTCTGCCACGCCCACAATTTTTCGTGTTGGCAAACTACGCGAGGTGGCCCTTGGTTTGGCGGAGACGGCGACGCGACACCGCCGCGACGGTCAGCGCAGCATCGCACAACGCTTCATTCGTTTGACGACGCAGAGGAAGGGTCTCCTGGTGGGCCAGTTGACACACTCGAAAGAGAAGCAAGACCCCCAAGTCCGCCGTCAAACTTAGAGCATCATCCGATTGCCGCGGCTGTCGGCGCAGATGCGGGCGTCCCCGTCACAAACAGTGGCGCGGACGCGACAGAACAGCTTGTGGTTGGGTCATCGGCGACAGCACGGCGCGACAGAGCCACTGTTTTGCCGACAGTGACATTCTATGCCAGCGGGAAGAATACTGGGGGGATGGATGAGCAGGGAGTCCGGAATGTTGGCAGGCCATCTGCACCGTCTATGGGGAAACGATCCATTGGGAGTGTGGATGGTATTTGGCACACCGCCATGGCCGAGTTTGAGGACCGACACGGGAGTGCTTTGCCGACGAAGACGTCTGATGTCCATGCTACGAGAGCCGCAAAGGCGAGTCTTTCTCGGGCAAGGAAGAAGGCCTCGACAAGGAAGGCGTCACGTTCATCCTCACATATGCGTTCCCGAGAGAGAGGATCGGGCGTTGTGCATCTCGAGGACGGAGAGATTGCACCTGACAGCGACGCATTGGATGTTGGAGGGAGGGATGCAACGACGACGGATATCATCGGCAGGGAGGGCACAGGGAAAGCAGTGGCAGGTCAGAAGAGACGCGGCAGTGTACTTATCGTCCACCACGACAGCATAGATGTCGCCCCGGGAGAGACCACAGACACTGATGATGCAGGGGACTCCGATTACGTACCCAAACCACGGGCGGCAGATGGAGATGATGGAGGAGGGCGACGAGTGAGACCGAGGACACGACTCGGGCCGCAAGGGCAGCGAGCACAGAGCACACTATCGGCGATGATTCCTGCCCCCATAGATCGGCGAGCTCAGGCGCAGCGTTTGCTGCGCAAAATGGAGGTCACTCTTCAACAGACGCACGGGTTATCGCTTGGCCGTGAAGAGACGGAGACTCAGAGACAGGGAGAGAGGGAGGGAGAGAGGGAGGGAGAGAGAGAGAGAGAGA